ACCACCTGAAGTTTCCACATCAGCTTCAAAGGGAGCCCCACGTAGAGCGCGTTAGAGTAGTCTAATCTAGAGATTACAAGCACATGTACTAAGGTAGTGAGCGCCCCTGTGTCTAGATAAGGTCGCAGCCGGGCAATCCGCCAAAGGTGGAAAAAGGCAGAGTGGACTACCGACGCCACCTGCATTTCCATGGTGAGCATCGGGTCCAGGTGTACTCCCAGGCTGTGGACCCCACTCTTAGCGGCCAGGTCCACCCCCTCAGACACGAGGGAGTTTCCCAAGCCACCATCCACAGGGCCACCCACCCTCAGAACTTCCGTCTGTGCATTAATCTCCCTTCTATTTGTTTACTTTAGAGTTACAGCAGAGGTGAAGCACAATCCAACCAATACTATAGTGTGTAAGGCACAAGGGGAGTGGAATGGCACTTTGGAATTTACATACAGCAATGGTGAAACCAAAATCATTGACACCACCAAACTACCCATCATCCGCAAGAAGATTAGGCCAATAGCAAAACAAGGTCCATTTGAATCAAGGTAAGAATGTTATTGTGCAATCATCACTTCCTTCTATTTAAAGGAAAGAACAGAGGATGTTGACTCGAGGATGTTGGGGTACTCTTTTCCTATTTTGCATCAAGAGATATTTAACAGCACAGCTACCGTGCGAATTTTGCCCATTAAAACATCGTTTTGTGATTGCAAAAGTGATTGCAAAAACCTCATCATCAAGCGGATTAGTCGTTTAACGAGTTAATTGTTAAGCGAGGTACCACTGTAGCTTGAATCACCATGGAAAGCAACCATTAATTTACATAGGAATATTTCTATTCACTGTGCTGCTAATGGCAGCAGTCATTTTTGGAAATTAAAACTTCTCCTGGCCTGCAACAAAGGGAATTGTATGGAAGTCTTGGTACCTTTGGGGGTGGGTGGGTTTCAGAATATTTTTATTTCCGGAAAATTGTTGCGGCTAGTGATATCATCACCCTAACATGGCATAACTCTAAGAAAAGAATGTCAGCCATTGAATCTCTTGCTGAATTATACGTAAATCCTGCTATTCCCAAGTGTCCACTTCATTTGGAACTAGTAGTTGAGGTTTAGGTCACAGAAAGCATTCTAAATCATGAAATATGGTATCAAAAAGAGATATTTTTTTAAAAAAAGTCTTTGTATAATTTGCAATTTGCATGCAATTTATAGCAAAATATGTTAGCTTTTTCTGTAGCCTGTCAGGAGAATATAGGTTGCATTTAAAGCAGTGGTCCCCAACTGTTTTGACAGCAGGGACCAGTTTAGTTGAAGACCATTCTCCCAAGGACTGAGAGGTGGGTACTTGTTATGCAGTAGGTTGTTGGAGGATAGCTTTGAATTGAGCTCATTACATGTATTGTGCGGGGACAGAGGAACAGCGAGCAGGAGGAGGAGGGGAGCTGCAATTGAAGTTCCACCTCCTGTCAGATCAGCAGTGGCATTAGAACCAAATAGGAGCGCGTTGACAAGAGGTGAGGTTTCGCTCACCATTCACCTCCTGCTTGCCACTCATCTGCCCCAGCGGCCCAGTCCTTCTAAGGCCCTAGGGGTTGGGGACCCTAATTTAAAGAGAGGTCTAACTTGTGGAATACATGCATTTGTTTGCTATTTCACTGCTATTCGTCAACAAAATATTACACCTAGGCAGGCAATCTGTAAATATGATAATCTTCTGATCCATTCACTGCTGTATTTAACTAAGCCCCTCTTGGTGTAATTATGCTTGTGGAAAAGGGTGATGGTGATACCCTCAGTGGAACATTTTTGGTAATTAACCCCCCCCCCCCTTTTTCCATGCATTTTCTGACTTGTGAAAAATCCATTTCATTATGTGAGGTCTGTGAGACAGAAGGAAATCTTTCATTACTGAGAATTTCCTCTTGCTGGTGGTAGTGATATTCAGTAATGAAAGATTTCACAGATCAGTTATTGCAACTGTGTGTCACTTTCTTTTAGCTAGTAACATTAAACACTCTAAAAACTTAAGTGTTCATTTTTAGAAGGGTTTTGCCATTTTCAGAAATCAGGAATATTAACTTAGATGAGCCTTTCTTAGAAGAGATCAGAGTTGAGGGCCATGAGTAGAAAAACGCCTTTCCTTTGAACTTTGATTGTGACCTATTTATTAGTGGTCTCTGCTATTGTATCAACAAGCAGTGCAGTTTGTAGTACTGCAATTCGTTTGCTTTCTAATCAAGAACTCTTTATTTACTTAATGGCATGGTCTAATGTGGTAAACAGGCATCTCTGGCAACAAGTTACCAATGCCCTGAAAGAAGGTAACATTGCTCTAGCTACAGACCACAAACATTTCCTGGAGGAGAGGCAACGAGCAGAAGAGAGGCAACGGGCAGCTAGCAATACACCTTGGAAGCCAAAATATTTTATGAAAGAGGTAATCAGAATTGTAGTGGATTGTAGACACCACAGATCAGCTCTGGATAGTCACTTATCATGGGAAAGCAACCATGTTTATATATTTTTAACTTCATTCAAAATGTTGGTTCGGTATGTTTTTCTGAAATGTTGCGAATACTTATTAATAACATCCTGTGCTATTGGCTGGCAAAGCAAGGGTATATTTTCCTGTTTGGATAAATGAACTATGTGTGGTGTTTAGCAGCACTGGAATTAGCATTTTTGACACGTCTCAGTTGAATTTCAGGAAAACATATTTGAAGTCCTGTACATGTCATGAGCCAGTGCAGAGCTGAAGTAATAACTGTGAAACAGGATGTATATATTTTTGTACTTTTCCACATGCTTTCTGAGTTTTAAGTTGACTCTGGTACACAGAACTATACTGGAGTGGATAAATTCTCCTAGACTGAGAAGGCAGATTATTACTGACAGTATGATACTTATTTTGTATGTAGACAAAATATTTATAGTGAGATGGCTTTGGCCATGAGTATAGTCTATGGACAGAATCCAGAACTCAAGATTTGGAGGCAGACTTAGCTGTACCTAACAATAGACCAACTGAAGTCAGTTCACAATTAACAAGTCCCAGTGACTTCAACGCGTCTTCTCTAAGTATGACAAAATCTGCATAGATTTTGTATAGTGAAGTTTCTGCACTGAGGTTGTTGTATGAACTACTAATTGTAAGTAGTAATGGAATAGGTTTAGCAACAGCTTCTTTTTAAAATATCTTCTATGGGAAGACCCCTGCATCAAAAAGTAAAGGTGCCTTTTAGACTGAATGATGACTTGCTTCCTCAGCAGTCAGAGTGACTGTTGAGATAGCATCAAAGGAAGTATTTTCCATGTGCATAATAGCACATTGTGTTAATTGCTATATCAGAATCAGAATTAGGCTTGTTAATTTTTTGATGAATACTTTGTAAGTGAAACTTGCTTGTGATAGCTACAATTTCTTTCTTTCTTTTTTTTTTACAGGGTGATGGATGGATCTACTTTGATCCCCTCTGGAAGATTCATTGATAAGCTCACCTGGACTCATAAGAAGGCCATTTTCTAAAGGCATTAAAAAGATGCACTATTTAAATTTCATGTGTGATTAAGTCTTGTTATAAATTAAAACTGCATACTGCGAATAAGGCAGCACAAAACAACTAAAAGCTCAAGTTTATTGAAGAGCCATTATATGTGCATAAATTAAACATGCACGTTCTTACATTTTGATGTATCGAAGCTTATATATACACAAAATGATTAAGGATCTGATCTTTTGCACTAAAGTCAATGTGTAGTACATTGCTTGCAGGATCAGGCTATTGATCACTTTTTTTAATTATGGAAGTTTTCTATTTTTCACATTGCCAAAAAATTTTTGCACTTAAAACCACTTGACACTAACAGCTATTTCATGGTTGAACCCATGGGGTAGGTGACTTGCTTTATTTGACACAAGAATGATACAGATATTTTCTTTGGGTATCTTGCTTTTTTTCATGGTGAATCACAAAAGTATTTATTTCCTTACAGTATGATAGCAGTCTCTGATTAGCCTTGTTTATCTGTTTCTCTCATCTTTCTAACTGTATGCTTTGCATGCTCTTTTGGTTTGTGTCTCGGGAATTTGGATCTCTTGGTGAGTCACCTGTTACTGGAAGCATCAGAATTGTCTGCAATCTTATGTATGCTTTCTTGGTTTTTCATTGTTTTCTTAGTTTTGTCTTGCTCTTAGATACATTTCTTTGGCTACATTAATTGCTTGGATACTATCCTGTATATAGAGTACATATGTATAAACTCTTAAGAAATTACCAGTTCTACAACAGAAAATAAATTTGGTAGCCAAGACAAAATGTCTTGATACAATTAACAGCATTAAAAAGTGATGGAGAAAGAAGCCTACATTGTTTTGTATTGTAGATGACCCCCTAAAGTGTTAAGGGAGACCAGAGAAAAAGACAGAACTGTTATCTACTGACTGACAACCTGTGGTCTCCAATTAGTTTTTCCAAATAATGCTTATCAGCTGTTGGAAGAACAGGGAAGTAAATCTAGCTTTGTTTTCTTCATCAGGTGATTAATGCTATGTAAAGCAGCTGGGCTGGGAAATTTTGGGTACAACATTTCTATCCATATAGGTGTATGTGCTGAAGCCAGCAGTTTAAAGGCAATGGAGATTAATAGGTATTCCTAAACTTTAAACATGCCACATTAAGCAGTCTATGGCTTTCTATATTCATTTGATATATGTTGCTTCCTTGTGGGGCAACAAAATTCATTTCATTGTATTAAAAGGGTATGTGAACCTGTGATGGGATTGACATTTAAGAAGGTGACTAAATACCTAGTTGTGCTTGAATTATAGCTGTCTTTCTCATAACTGTGTAATGACAATAGGTTTGATCAAATGTAATGTAGCAGTATAGAAAATTCTTTGCTTAGTCTTTTAATGATCTTTACACTGCCCCTTAATACTCTGTGTACTAGTTATAAATACTGATTTTTCCACTATATTCTTTTTTGTGCCTTTCTGGCTTGAAATACTCACATCTTACATGTTAACAATACACTTTTAAATATTTTTTAGCAGAAAGTCCAAACTATACAAATATATATAAAAGAATGTATTACCAAGTTAAAAGCATATTCACCTCAATAGCTAGTGATCAAGCCCAACTCTTAACCTTACTGTATTCTTGTCTCAGCATATAAAAGGTATTGTATTTATAAAACAAATTTCCCAAATACAAAAACCCTGTTTTAAAAGAAATAAAACTGCATATTCTCAATAATAAGAAATCTTGCTTTAAAAATGGAAAAAAAATATAAGTAATTTCCTGTTGTCAGAAAGTTAAGTCTTGAATGGACTCTGGTAGAAGCAGAATCTAACTTGCATTGTTTGTGTAAATTCTTACTTTAAAGAGGTCAGCCCAATAAGTAAGCAAACAGTAGCAAGTTAACATGGGAATCAGAAATGACAGGACAGCACTCCTAAGCACAATGCTTCATATATACACCGAAGAATTATATCCTTAAACTCTATTATGACTACTTCACATTTATTTCAATGCCTAAGCTGTATTCACCTTTGATAATTGTTGGTTATCAGTGCTACAGGATATAGCTGAAAGATCATTTTACAATGCTGTCTTTCCTACATGGGTTCTTGATACTTCAGTAGAAATACACACTACTAATGTCTGGTAAACATCTTACTTTCTGAATGTTGTTGGTGAAATACCCACTGCTACTAGTAAAGTTTTCCAGGATTTATTTTCCAAGTCCAATAAGTACAAGCTTATATCTGAATACTATAAATCAAAAAGCAATTCCAAAGAGAAAGCCATGAGACCCTTTCCCTTTTCAATTTAATATTGCTCCTTGTAGTTCATGATTGCAAAACATTATTTTAAAATATGAAGAAGCAACATGCCTTATTTATAGGTCAGTTCATGTTTGTCATATTACCTGCATCTATTTCAGTGTAGATACTGTACACTTTGAATTGTAATGTAAATTTTGATATACTTCGAGTTATCCTTTGTGCACAGCTGTAGGATCTATGCAAATTTTTATTAAATAGAACTGTTCATAAACAGGTTTATACTTATTTGTTAAGTTCCAGTTCTTTGGCAATCACTTATGATTAGCCTTCCTTTCATAACCTGTGAATTAAAATCACAATCTGAAAACACTCAATAAATCGTATTTGACTTGATTGGCTGTATTTTTCTGTCTGTCCAACTCTTCGCTGTTTCACTGTGAATACTTAAGTAGTTTTGTCTTCCAAGTCTGATATTAGATTTGAAAAACAAGTATATTTCAGTATGACTCTTCTTTCAATATACCACTAGTAAGGGCCACGAGAGGTCAGAAGGGACCTGATGGCCTTAACTTGTTAAGCCACTTTTGAGATTGGAGAGCAGTCTCCCGAGGTTCTTGCCGATAGCATTATGAGCCAGTGTTGTATAGCAGCTTGAGTCTCAGGCTGGAACTCAGGAGTTCTGGGTTGAAATCTCTGTATTGCTATAGAACACTGGGGGAGATGTTTGGCAAGGGTAAAGTACTTCTTGAACACCTCACATACCTTGAAAACCCTGCTAAGGGCCACTTGAGTTCAGAAGGGACTTCTGGCATTTGACACAAATTTACCAAGAGCTCGGGAGCTTTAGTACAATGAATAGATAGATACATTATGCTTTTCTGAGCACAAGTAAATACTGTTCAACTGTGGTTGATTGAGACCAAATAATGGGTTGTAATCTGACGTAAAAGCACCAACATCACAATATATTGGCTGAAATGCTGTTGCTTAGCATAGTCAGTCATACTAGAGTAGAGCCATTGAATCACTGGGGATTTGATATGTCAACTCCTTTGTGATCACCATTGATTCAAATGGGCCTACTTTGGTTGCAACTTAAAGTAACAACAAGGGTAGGCCCATTTGAATCTATAGAACTTACAGAGGAGTTGACTCACCAACTCCCCACTGTTTAGGCCTACTTTAGTTCAATTTACTGTGCTAAGCAACAGGTTCTTAGTGGTCTCTGTGAATGTACACTAACAGGTTAATCTGCGCCTGCGCAGAACAGCTTCGGAATCTTCTGGAGCTCAGGCACATGGTGCCAGGACCTCCCACACGCCAGCTATAACCCCACCCCCCGCACCGAGTGCCTCTGTACCGTTTCTGCCGCCGCTACTGCAGCAACTGGAATCGGAGCTTTGTGATTGTTTCCTTTCCCTCAACCTTCAATCGAACTTTAGACCTCCCTGTTAATTGACTTCAGCGTACATAACCTTCTGATTCGTTAGTTCAACGCTGAAGCATAAAACTGTGTTTTCTGTTTGAAAGTTTATGGCCGTGTCAGGGCCTTTCAAGTGCTGTGTGTCTTGTAACAAAAAAATAACTCTTTCCGACGGCCATTCACAGGGCTTGTTCTGCCTCGGTGAGGAGCACCAGCCTGCTTTGTGCACTGTCTGTAAGGCTTTTACTAAGCCTGCATTAAAGCAGAGACTTCAGAGGCTGCATACCTATTTGTGGGAGAAATCACTTTGCCTTACACGATCCTCAGCTATGGAACCGCCGCATGCTCCCCTTTCCAATGCTGCTTCAGCCGCCATTCGTTCCCCTATGGTGAGTCATAAATTTGCAAAAATTGGCATCCTTGGGCTCGAGGTCGACTGCTTCGGTGTCAACATCGAAACCACCTTTGACCTCGATGTCGAAGAAAAAGAAGAAATTGTCTTCTAAACTGCCGACTGCACTTTCTCCATCAGTGCCAATATCTCATGCCCGGCATAGCATGGTATCTCTCACTATACCATTGGGAGATGAGGAAATTCCTCCCTTGAGGCTGGAGCTGGCACTATCACGTCACATGAGTCTCTCTCCTGAGCCCATACATGGCTCGGTCAAGATCCAACTCGAGACTTGGGCCAGCCCTGTATCTCCACCAGGCTCAGTCGCAGATGTGCCCCGTAAAAAAAGACAGAAGACACGACAGCTTGAACACGAACCCGACCAAGCTTGATATCTTCCACCGCTGGGAGAATACCTTCCTTATGGAGAATTCTGGTGTCCTCCCTGGAACGACTTGTGGGACTATTTCGATCCCAGAGGTTTTGGTCTTGAGGGGCACAGACTTCAGTTGCCTTATGATCTGAACTCGTATTTCCAGGCTCGTCACTGGCCGTCATATCCTTCGCCTCCTCGATACCATCCATATTCAGATGATTATTTTTGTCATTCTGGTAGTCAACGTGTTCCTCCTCCATCTCGGGAACATCAATTTGTCCAAGGCCTCACAACCCTTTGCCAACGTTGGGTTCTAGGCCCCGTGCATTGGGTCTGTCTTCAGTATCTCGTCAGTTTTCAGAGCCGACTCCCCTGCCACTGTTCTCTCCAAGCCATGCTTCGCGGTGTCTGGAAGACGACCTTGTCGATGACTCAACTACTCAAACCACCCAGTTTGATCCATCTCGAGCCGGAGCACCATTCTCCCGGTCTCCAGAACACGATTTTGGATTCAACAGTTGTGCGAGGACAAAGGGGAAATTAGAGGATTCTCCTCCTAACATGCATACCCCAACTTCAGAAGTTGTGGGAAGCCATCCCCCCTCTGAAGACCATATGGTGTACTCACACCTAATTAAACAAATCATGGAGCTTCTAGACCTTGCAGTTGTCCAGCCTCCAGCTGAACAATTGGATAAGGTCTATGAAGATATAACGAAAGACCATGTGCCCCCACTTCGACTGGCCTTTATATCATCCTTCCTCAGCCTCCTGAAGGAACCTTGGGATAAGCTGCTGACATCTCATCAGGTGCCTAGAAGGGTTGAAAACCTTTATAAGACCCATGGCAAAGATACTGAGTTCCTTTCTTAGCATCCCTTACCGAACTCACTCGTAGTCAACACAACACTGAGTAGAGCTTGAACTAGATCTATACCCAACAACAAGGAGGGAAGGAAGCTGGATGTCCTAGGATGAAGAGTTTATTCTCTAGTGTCCTTTAATCTTTGGGTGGCGAATTATATGGCAGCAATGGGTGCATATCACCAACATTTATGGAACAGCGTGCTACCCGCACTGCAAGCTGCACCCAAAGACCTCAGGACCCTGAGCCTTGCCTACCATCAAGAGGCCATGTCGTTGACATGACAAGAAAGGATCGCAGCCAGACATGTGGTAGATGCTGCTGCTAAACAGGTCACCACAGCAATCACCTTGTGTCAGCATGCCTGGTTGTGTTCAGTTGGTATTTCTGATGACGCTAAGGTCAGGATCAAGGATTTGCCCTTCAATGGCATAGGGTTTTTTGACAAAAACAGATGAGATACTTGAAAATCTCTTGAAACATCGTAAAACGGTCAAGTCTAATACCACTGTCATGTTCATGGACTACTTGGTGTCGGCTATACTCATATCGGCCCTACTCTGAACGTCAAAGAGTGCAGACAACTAACTTTGCAGGTCAGTCCTGCCAGCAGCCTGCTCAACAGCAGCCTCAACAGCAGGCCCATCTCCAGGATCGGAGGCCTAAACAGAACTTTTAATACTGTTGGCCCGCCAGCAACAGCTCCCATGTTAACACGATTAGCACCATTCTTCCACACTTAGGAATCTATCGCCTCTGACTCACGGATTCTCACAATTATAGCCATGGGTTATGCCACTGGTTCTTAACCTTGGGTTACTCAGGTGTTTTGGACTGCAACTCCCAGAAGCCTTCACCACCAGCTGTCCTGACTGGGGTTTCTGGGAGTTGCAGTTCAAAAGCATCCGAGTAACAAAGGGTAAGAACCACTGGGTTATGCAACTGAGTTTGACTCTACACCTTGCACGGGGCTGCTCAGAGACATGGCTACCTCCCTCATACTATGACAGGAATTTGACACACTGCTCTCCAAGGATGCCATCACTTTGGTTCACAACCCTTACATCACATGTAGTTTCTCTCATTATTTCATCATTCCCAATAAGGATGGAGGACTTTGCCCCATCCTCAACCTTCGCCCCTTGAATATTTATATTACACCTCGGCGTTTTCGTATGGTCTCTCTGGACAACACTATCCAGATGTTGAGGCAAGGCAATTGGCTTGCTGTTATTGACCTCAAAGACACTTATTTCCATATTAGTATTTGTCAATAACATTGTTGCTTTTTGAGGTTTTCACTTGATGGAGTATCTACAAATTCAAGGCTCTCCCATTTGGTTTATCCACAGCACCACAGGTGTTTACAGAATGTTTAGTCCTGGTAGCATCCCACCTCCGTTTGCATGGCATGACAGTTTTTCCCTACCTTGATGATTGGTTGCTGGTGGCGCCTTCATATGAACAGTTGGTCCACAATATTTCGTTTACTTTGTCCTTCTTGTCTGATCTTGGCCTCCAGGTAAATCGAGAAAAGTCCACTTTGTGCCCTACTCAGAGAGTCTCCTATATTGAAGGGATTCTGGACGCTACCTTAGGTCGGGCGTTCCTTCCCAAGGACAGGATTATAAGAATCCAAACGATGCTTCAACACTTTACTGCAGGAGCCAAGATGCAGGCTCTTCAAGCACAAAGATTTTTGGTTCTCATGGCTTCCACCACGGCGGTAGTTCAACATGCCAGGTTAAAGATGAGGTCGCTTCAAGCCTGGTACCTGGCGCTATGCGATCCTCCCTTGGACTGGACCCTCCTTCCAAACTGCTGACAGTCACAGCAGAGCTTGCAGCACAACTCACCTGGTGGTCCTTCTGATCCAATCTTCTCGTAGAAAGATCCTTTGGGCCTCTAACGCCAAAAATACAAATAACCACGGACGCCAGTCCAACAGGTTGGGGGGCGCATGTCCACCAATTGACGGCAAATGGACATTGGACACAACAAGAACGCCGTTTGCATATAAATCTCCTCAAACTCCTGTCTATTTACAAGGCCCTTTGAGTTTTCAAGCATCTCCTCTCCGGCCGTATCATACAAGTAGTGACCAACAACAACACAGCTGTTTTCTACATAAACAGGGTGGCACACATTCACAGCGCCTCCTGTATTTCTCAGTTCAGATCTGGGAGTGGTGCTACAGCCGCCACATCTTCCCTGTTGCTGTACAGTGGGGTCTTGACTTGCGAACGGCCCGAGGTACGTACTTTTTGAGTTACGTACTTCTCTGTCCGCAAAAATCCATTTTGACTTGTGAACAGAGAATTGA